CCCCTAAAGCAATTCAGTTTTAGATTCTTGCTTTAAGAGGTTCCTAGGAATGTGTTCCATTCAAATTGCAATCAATTTCCTCAATGAGTGACTATTTGGAATGGTTATAACTATACTTTATTTTAAATAAAGGTTTTTAGCAAAAGCCACTCAAAAAATAAAGAGATGAAGATAACATTTGTGTGGATGTGCAAAATTTGATTTGATATATTATTAGCAGATTGATAGATGGTTTAGCACTAAGGGTTTATTTAATAAATACTGAATTGTAGTGTTTTGATACCCAACCTGTGACACAATTTGGTGTTCAGTTCCCTACTATATGGTTCAATGAATAGATCTGAGTCTGAATAACTCTTATTTAGGATTATTAACTAAAAACGTGAACTGTCAGTTATTCACACATAATGTAAAATGTTATGTCAAAATAACTGTTCTGAAAACATTTTTTTTCTATGTGTCTCGTATGGCATCAAATGGAAATTTATCTTCAGATATTTTTGAAAACCCTTTGTGTCTTCTGCAGTAGGTAACTTTCTCCTTCCTGATGTAGAAGGGATGTTGAAACTAATCAGACAGGATAGTCTTGAGCATTTCAGCTTAAACATCCAAGTTAGTGGATCATAAATGTGTTGCCCTACAGCTTATTGTGCCCACTTTTATTCTCATTACGTAAGTAATCTGGTCTAATCCTTTAGTACTTTGGACTCAGATGCCAAGGGATCACGCATCGTTCAGCTGTTGAGTCTGAAGTAGCTGGCAAGTTAAAATTAGTGTGCACCTTTGGTAATTGGTTTCCTGCTCATGGATAAGCTTGGGAAAACTTGAATTTTATAGTTTGAACCATATGGTCTTTGGCACATAGAGAAAACAGTAGGAGCAACCCATAAATATTACATTAAAATATTTGTGCAAATGCCTGAATAGTTATGTTTGCTTTCAGATGTACACTTTGAAATTTGTCAGATTGCCTGTGAGACCATATGAAAGCACAGGAACGAAAATTAACATCATGACATACTATTTGCACAAGTAGGCAACCCAGGGTATTAAACATGGGGTATGTCCAGTCTTTCTTAGCAGCCACTTAGTCATAAATCTTGGCAAAGTTAGCGTTCATATTTATTTTTTGCATTTTTCACAAGAATGAAATGCCCTTTCACAGATGATATCATCAGCGTTATACATTTCACTGCTCTGAAACACTCTTACTATATTGCAGTAAAAATCTAGCAATATTATGACATTCCCAGTTAAAATGCCATGCAGAACTAAGAAAATAAAATTCCTTAATTTTTTACACTTTTTTAGATTTTATTTAAATTAAATTACGTTCCTGAACAAAATGTTAGAAAATAAGTCTGGGTGCCCTTAATATGAAAGAGATGAATTCTGGTTGAACAGACATATAGTCAAATTCCACATAAAAAAATTCTCACATAATTGTATTTTGTAACCCATGGGTATTTTTACAGACTGTAATGCTATCAGTTGTTGATAGAAAATACTAAATTAATTTAAAAAAAAACACTTCTTCTAATAACCATACATACAAAAGAGAAAACGATTGGATAACAATTAACAATTAACACAGTAGAGGAGTTTAAGCATGCATGGGATAGGCATAAGGCTATCCTAACTATAAGATAAGGCCAGGGACTAATGAAAGTATTTCGAAAATTGGGCAGACTAGATGGGCCGAATGGTTCTTATCTGCCGTCACATTCTATGTTTCTATGTTTACTCCTCCTTCTGGGTGTCAATCTATAAATTATTATTCTTATTATTCTATAATTATTATTCTTTAATGGAAAATTATTACATTGACACTTATAAATTAGCCTTGTTACACCACCGCACTGTCAATAATAAAACCGGTCCTGGAGTGTCCCTTTAATGTGTTTTCTTTGTATATGTGGTAGGGTCAGAAAATTATTGAATGTCTAGACTTCTAAATATTGTATCTGGGGATTTCACTGTACACAGTTCCATCTCAACAATTGCCCGTTCCATTCGAAATATATTAAAAACATAGTGGATCACTCAACAGCTGCTACATGGAATCCTATTAAAAACATCTCAATTTCATTGAATCCAATTTGTCATTCATACAAAGAACATTTTAATATCTAAATGCTACAGATCTACAAGTATTACTCTATGGTTTTTTGTTTTTTGTAAATGTATTTGATGGAATATTTTATTTAAATATATACATTTAGATTTGGTTTTGTTTATTTTTTTTAAATATGTTATTTAGTACTTTATTCCCCCCTAAGCTAACAGAAATAGGCTATGAATTATGAATTGTGTTTGAGACAAAATATAGAAATCAGTAGGCAGACATTGCAGCTGCCTTGAAAAAAATCATACTTTTTTTACTTTAAAAAAATATATATTTTGTTTGTTAATTTTATGTTTTAAAACAATTTTACAAGGTTGTTGTAAAACTGCCTTCCGAAAAGATACTTTCATGACATTTACTGCAACTTAAGTTACATTATCTATGATTGCTATCTCATCACTGGCACTCTCCCCAAACAAACACTTGGGACCTAGTGCATTCTTGGTAATGCCAACATGGACTTATCTAAAGCAAACGAACAGAGCAAACTCCCTGAACAATTAACTGAACTACTCATCGCCTTGAGCTGGCACAGCCTGCTCACACGGAAAGAATGATGGAATAAATACGCAGCTGGGCATTGAGTAGGGAAATGTAAACGTTGTATCTCCATCATTTGAGTGTCAGATATACATACCGTTATAATGCACACAGGGCCGGACTGGGAGAAAAATTCGGCCCGGGCATTTTTTTAACACAGCGGCCCACTAAGAAGGGGGCGGGGCAGAGGTGTGTTTTGTCATCACCAATGACAAACACGCCCCCTCTCAAAGTGAGCATGTTGGTTCAATGCTCTTCCAGGGCAGACCATGCGCAGAGCTCTGCTGAAGAGCTCTAGCATGATAAAAAAGCCCTGTATTTGTTCTGCACAGTGCAAGCAAATTTAATAACATGCTTGCACTGTGTTTCCTTGCAAATTGTCTCTGGTGTCTCTGTAAAGATACCAGGAGACAAAAATGCCAGGAAAGAGTATTGTGCATATGTTTGGAGCCTGCTTGTGGTATTGCGTGTGTGTAGAGTGAGCTGATTGTGGTGTGGTATTGTGTAATAAGGTTGGTTTTAGTCATGTTGTGTTTGTGGTGTAATGTGATGCATATGTGGCTAGGGGCTGTAGAGAATGTGTATAGGGGATATAGCAAGTGTGTGCATACAGGCTATAGTGTGTGTGTGTGTGTATATAGGTGATGTAGTGTATGTTTAGGGGTGTAGTATGTGTTTGCTTACAAGGAATCTAGTGTGTGTATAGGGGATCCAGAGTGTGTATGTTAAAAGTGTAGTGTGTGTGTGTATATATATATATATATATATATATATATATATAAATATATATTTGGAAGTATTGTGTATGTGTGTGGTGCAGTGTGTTGAGGGGGTTCTGTGTGTATGTGAGGGGTGCAGTATGTGTGTCTGAGGGGTGCGGTGTGTGATGTGTGTGAGAGTGCGGTGTGTGAGAGTGCTCTGTGTGATGTGTGTGTGTCTGATGAGTGTGAGAGTGCTGTGTATGATGTGTGTGAGAGTGCCGTGAGTGAGAGTGCTATGTGTGTGAGAGTGTGTGAGTGCTGTGAGAGACTGCTGTGTGAAAGAGTGCTGTGTGTGAGAGAGTGCTGTGTGTGAGAGAGTGCTGTGTGAGAGAGTGCTGTGTGTGAGAGAGTGCTGTGTAAGAGAGTGCTGTGTGAGAGAGTGCTGTGTGAGAGTGCTGTGTGAGAGTGCTGTGTGAGAGTGCTGTGTGTTAGAGAGTGCTGTGTGTTAGAGAGTGCTGTGTGTTAGAGAGTGCTGCTGTGTGAGAGAGTGCTGTGTGAGAGAGTGCTGTGTGAGAGAGAGTGCTGTGTGTGAGAGTGATGTGTGTGAGAGTGATGTGTGTGAGAGTGATGTGTGTGAGAGAGTGCTGTGTGTGAGAAAGTGCTGTGTGTGAGAAAGTGCTGTGTGTGAGAGTGATGGGTGTGAGAGTGCTGTATAAATGTTAGAATGGATTGTGTGTGTAGGGGGGAGGGGGGTTAAATAAATAAAGTAGGCATTATGTCCCCCCCTCCCTTCTTACCTTTAGCCTGGGAGGGGGGGACCGGCACACTGATCCCTGGGACTGGGAGGCGGGGTTCCCTGGTGGTCCTCGTGGTGAGATCCGGTCGTTGCCATGGCAACGCGCCGGATCTCGCGAGAGGAACCCGGCGGAGCTGCAAATTAGAGCTCCGCCGGGTCCTCTCTCCTAGCGGCTGTCTCCCTCCCCGCCGGTGGCCGCATTATACAGCATGTGGGCCGGTGAGGGAGATCTTTGATCTCCCTCACCGGCCCTTCATGGAAAACAGCGGGGCCGGCACTCGGATAGTGCCGGCCCTGCATAGACCGGCAGTGGAGATCCTGGGACTTCCCCTGCCGGCCTCGGCCCATGGCCACCGCGGCCCACCGGGCATTTGCCCGGTGTGCCCGATGGCCAGTCCGGGCCTGAATGCACATATACCTGCGATTTATAAACCCACATACATCGAAAGTGGCTTCTCGGAGCAATAAACTCTAAAACTTCAAAAACAGGAACATTACAATAACTTTTTAAGGACAGAGAACAATGATATATTTGCCTTTATGTTATGAATATTTTTTTCATTATTTTTTAAATTATTTTTAATAATATAATTTTTTTTCTTTTTCTGTTTAATATTTTTTTAATTACACATTTTTTTTTTAAGTAGCTGTTTGGTTTCTATATATTTGGAAAATATGTAGATGGTACATTTCTTATAGATCGGAATAAGAACATTCACTGCACTGTGTTAATGCAAACCATACTTGAAGTATGTGCTGACCAGATGCAACGGGAGATGCATCGAGCAAGCAAGTTATATGGTGCTAACTGCATGGTGCACTCCAGAAACTTTACGGCTGGCTAAGAATCAAGGGAAATTTAGTTTTTGGGCTAAATTTGATCTGGGTTAATCTTGCCAGCCCAAATCAAATTTAGCCCAAAAACTAAATTTCCCTTGATTCTTAGACAGCCCTAAAGTTTCTGGAGTGCACCATGCAGTTAGCACCATATAACATGCTTGCTCGATGCATCTCCCGTTGCATCTGGTCAGCACATACTTCAAGTATGGTTTGCATTAACACAGTGCAGTGAATGTTCTTATTCCGAGAGCAGTGTTGGATCTGTGTTCATTTGAGAGTTGCCAGTTGTGTCATAGCTCTTTATTTATGATGGTACAGCCATCTCTTTTTAAACCTTTTTCTTTATTCTATGTGTGTACCATGGACAAAGGTTGTTCTAGAGCAACCTATTTGAATAATATTCAATATTACTGTCTACGTATGTCAGACTTTTAAAATGTTTTTAAAAATGTTTAAAAAGGAGTATTAAATAATATGCAAATTCATCAGTTTGACTACTTTTTTGCTGACATTTCATCATACAGATTACGGTGAATTAATTGTTTAGAGATTATAGGTGAGGCTTCTTTTGACTTTTAATTAATGACGTTGATCATTTATAAAATGAATACAATCTTTTCCTACATATGGTTTAAACTAAAGGGACAATCTGAGCATCGCATTGACCTATGTCCCTTGCATAGATTGTGATGGAGTGGCTAACTTGCCCTTTTCTTCATTATTGCTCGATGAATTTGCAAAAAGTGATGCAGTAATATAGATTACCATGGGACAGATTGTACGGCAGCCTTACACAAATGTAATGAGCACTATTGATTTAATAATTCATGCCAATATTAGTTTTTAGACTTGTTCATGGCAAGATGTTCTGGTTCTTCTGAACATCATTTTTAAATTGAAAATTTTATTTGGGAAAACTGACTTTGGCAGTGTGCTCAGTTCGGCTGATATTCAGTTGTGAAACCTTAATTCAGCTGAATCGGACACCTTGGCGGCACAAGGCTTATGATGGCTGGGTGGGGTTTGCTAGCTAGTTAGCTGCCACATTAAATAGTTACAAAATAACTAAATAAACCTAAAACAGAGTTCATATGACCCCCGTATTAGTACAAAGGAGGTTTGTAATTTCTCCCATGCCCCTGCTCATCATGCTGAGAATGGCATGTCTTCTAAAAAGCAAGCTAATGTACATCCGACACCTGTAGGCATTTGGTGAGAGCTTCCATTTAAAGAATGGGTGGTGGAAAGATCACTGTCTACCCCCTCTGCCCCCAGAGTGCGGCTGTTAATTACATAAAGTGGGTGGCATAGTGTTTCCCATGCCCCATGATGGGGCTCTAAATTCATATTAATATGGTGTGGGGGGGTCATATAGTTAAACAAATGAGTCAAAAATATATTGTTGTCCACCACAAGAATAAAGACTTTTAGCACTTCAAAAATACTTTTAAATGCACGGTGGTACAAAAATCATAACTTTTATTTACATCTTAATATATTTGTCATCATGGCAGTAATTCATTGAACAAACTACCATGATGTATAACCATCTTGCTCAAAGCTAAAGGTGTGTGTGTGGGGGGGGCAGGGCCGGTGCAAGGATTTTTGCCGCCCTAGGCAAAAGTAAAGTTTGCCGCCCCCCCCATGACTTCACAATGCCCCACCCATATGACCTGCCATGTTAACTAACGCTAGTGCTGCAGTGCTGCAGTGCCGCTGTGTTTACATTAAAAAGCCTGCAGGGACAGGCTATAGACACCAGGACCACTACATTTAGTGCCACGAATAATATACTAGATTACCTACTTACAAGCAGATGAGGATGATGATGGGCTCTAGCTGCAGTCTGGCTCCACTGGTCTGGTGTATAACAGGATCTCTGGAGGCTGTTTGTAACTGTGGTCACAAAAATCAATGTTCTGGGAGAACGAGAAGCAGCTCCATTTTTTGGGGGCCCTTTACACAGCTCAAGGTCTGGGTCCCAGGGTCCACCTTCATGTTCCACCAATGAGTTTGTTCACAGGGGGTGGAGTGTGTAGGGGATGTCCTGATTTGTGTGTAAGGAATGCATTGTGTGAATCTGTGTTTGTATGTGTAAGGGCTGCAAGGTGTGTTTCTGTGTATGTAAGGGATGAAGTGTGTGAGTCTGTAAGGGGTGCTTTGAGTGTGTTTAAGGGGTGCATTGAGTGTGTGCAAGGAATGCATTGTGTGTTTCTGTGTGTGTAAGGGATACATTGTGTGTAAGGGTTGCATTGCGCGTGTGTGTGTAATGCATAGTGTGTTTTTCTGTGTGCAAGGGGTTCATTGTCTTTGTGTGTAAGGGGTGCATTGTGTGTGATTGTGTGTGTATGATGGATGTCAATCTCTCCCCCCTCCCTTGTCACTCTCTTCTCCCCCCTCCCTTGTTACTCTCATTCCCCCTCCCTCCCCTGTCACTCCCCCCTCCCTGTCAATTTCTCTCTCCCCGTCAATTCCCCTCCCTGTCAATGTCTCCCCCCCCTGTTAGTTTCTTTCCCCCCCCACCTCCCTGTTAGTTTCTTTCTCCCCCCTCCCCTGTCAGTTTCTTTCTCCCCCCTCCCCTGTCAGTTTCTTTCTCCCCCTCCTGTCAGTTTCTCTTTCTCCCCTCCTGTCAGTTTCTTTCTTCCCCCTCCCTGTTTCTTTCTTTCCCCTCCTCCCTGTTTCCTTCTCCCCATCCTCCTCTTTCTTCTTCCCCTCTCCCTCCCTGTTTCTTCCCCCCCCTCCTTCTGTTTCTTTCTTCCCCCTCCCACCTCCCTGTTTCTTTCCCCTCCTCCCTGTTCTTTCTTTCCCTCCCTGTTTTTCCTTCTCCCTGTTTCTTTCTTTCCTCTCCCTCCCTGTTTCCTTCTCCCCCCCTCCCTCCCTCTTTCTTCCCCCTCCTCCCCTACCTGTGTTGTAGCGTGGCCGAGCCCATTATAGTCCGCGTGTACAGGGAACTGTTGTTTCCTGTACCCGGCCGGACTAACAGGAAGTGCACACTCAGTGTGCACTTCCTGTGGTCCGGCCGGGTACAGGAGACAGCTGCTCCCTGTACCCGCCGACTATACTGGGCTCGGCCACGCTACTACAGAGGGAGTGATAGGAGGGAGCGCTGAGCGTGCTACGCCCAGGCGGTGCTGTCCGCCCTCATGGACGCACCGCCAGGGAAAAGCTGCAGCCGCCTGAGGCTCTTTACAGAGCGCTCGGGCGGCTGCAGCATGGGGAGGGCGGCGCTCCTGGTCCGCCTTACAGGTAGCACCGGCCCTGGTGGGGGGGGGGGAGAGGGGGTATTTCTCTTCTGACAACTTTATAGAAAAGGAAGTAATAAATATTTTCCAAATCTCTGTAATCTAACATATTTTGTTTATCACTTCAATTAAATCTAAAAGTCTATTGGGTTCTCCTTAGAGTTCAATACCCACTGTATACCGGTAGGGGTCTCACTATCCCCTCCATTTTGTTATCCTAATAATGCTTCAAAGAAACACCCCATGCAACATAACAACTACAGCACACTGTCATGATTGTGGTGACAGCAGTGCTCAGATGCGATCTCATGGTATGTAGTCAAGCCATTTGCAGATGATTTGACAACTTACTTGGGGTCCACTGGACATCAGTCATCATGCAATGCTTGCTGACTACAGATGTCGAATATGCACAGAATTCACGTGTGATTTTTATTCTGGGCTGGCTAATGAATCTTTGAATTACACCTGCTGCACCAAAGATCCCTCTTAAACTCTGTACGTGAAACGTTTCAAACTGAAAGGCTGCACATACAAACTGCAAGCACCATAGTCACGTATCCCCTCTAGATTACACCATTGCTTGTTCATCTGCTTTGTCAATAAACTGTTTTAATGATAAAATTCTACCTAAATTATGGTTGTTCAAGTTAAACATTTACTAATAATTAAACTAGCCTATCTAGAAAGAGAAAACGACTTAGCTTTTTGGCTTCCATAATTGTGAGAGTTCGACTTAATGTAAATCTCAAGATTTACAATATATTTATGTCGGTTTGTTTTCAGCATCGTTTCAAGCAAAGATCCTGGGAGTTCAATTTTGTTATCATTAATTTGTTAATATGGTATGTTTATGTTAATATAAAGCACTTCAAACATCTCTAGGAAAATCATGTATAACAAGTTTATTGAAACAGGCTTTAGATATCATTTTCTTTTTGATGATCTGCAATGCAATATATTTTAGTATACTAATTTAAGCGAGTAATAAGATAGAATTGTGCCCTTGATACTTTAATGTACAATATTTTTAGGAGTGAAAATTGTTAATCTTATATTTTATTTATTGTGCTGCTCACTAATGTATTTTTTATTTAACTGTTTGAGAAACACTTACATTTTTGTAAATGATTGCCAGATATTTTAATTGTATAATGAGGGTTCTATATAAATTCACCACCACCCAATACTATCAAAATGTAACAAGGATATAAGTGCTTAAAGATGTAAAGATATCAGACTGACATCATAGACTCAATATAAGTGTAAAAGACATTTGACTAACATTAATTGTTCATTTTATGGAAGGATGTGATTAAATCTTTTCCGATGTTAGAACATTCCATGCCGTCCTACACAGAGTGGGCTTTAATGTGGTAGATACATTGAGGTAGATACATTGGGGAAGATATGAGGTCTATCTGGAAGGTATCCAGCCATGTAATATGAAAAATAGAGACATTTATTGAAGACAATACAAGATAAGGAAACATTGTACATAGTGCAATGAAGCCTCAGTCCTTAAAGTGGGCATCTTGGGACCTCAAACAGTTCTCCCAGCATCTCTTCAACTGTTCAAAGAACTCTGCAAAATCCTTTGTTGGAATCGCCATCAGCTGCCTCGTCCTATTTACCAGAATCTCATCAACAGTGTGAATTTTGTTTCCTTTGAGTTTAGTTTTGGGGAAAGCCATAAGTTGCAGGGATCCAAAATTGGTGCTGTAGGGGGGCTGAGTTACCTGGGTGATTTTATATTGCTAACACATGCGCGTTCCAGTCCACTCTCCTTGGCTGCCAGGTTACTTTTTTCCAGACTGACCTCGTATATAAAATAAAAAAAAGTGATATTCTAGGATTAGGTGCTAAATGGGG